ACAAGGACTGGAAGCCAAGTCAAGGATGCATACTCTCCTGAGACTCATTAACCATAGATTGTCCTACAGGCCAGGCAGCTGCTCATCTGATATGGGACCCATATGAACCTAAACTTCCACCAAAAAACAAAAACAAAAACAAAAAACCTGTCAGGTGCAGCTACACATAATCCTATTAACTACCGGTATTATTACTACTATTATTACTACGGGTGTGGATGCTTTATTGATTTACAACCTAAAGGGCTACATCAATTTCAGACAGTACACACTTAAAAAGAATACGCCAGTCCCACATTCCAGATGACTTTGCTCTGGCACAGAATATCACTGCAGGAGGTGACATCACCTCAGATAACATAGCCCCAACCCGAGACCTTGCTGTTAGAGATAACTTCACCCATTACACTGAAACCTCCACAGTGATACCCATGGACTGCCTCTCATAAGGCAAAAATGGACAGAACATTTTTTTGTTTTTCGTCCTGAGCTCACTGTCTGCTTAACCCATGATCCTACTTGCTTTCTGCTCATACATACACCCTCACACACCCACACCTAAAGGAAAATCTGGTACACATTGCTAAAATTAATGTAGATTATTGTTTTCCCCAGGAGGCACCTGCCTCATATCAGTAAACTCCTTAACCCCCTGAGGACAACCCATCCCCCTCCCACTTTCTACCAGGACCTCCTGGCTTGCCTCTGTAACCACAACCACTCCTCCTCCTTGGTTACACCCAATATCACTAATCTTTACATATGCTTTCCTAAACTATGAGTTCATAACCTCCAACAACATAACTGCCCTACTAAAATGCTTAATTTGTTGGTTAAACGATACTATTCCCCCTGCAGTCAGTATCTTCACCATTCTAATTGCAACTGTCTCACATTTAAAAGATGCTGAGGCATGAGGAGATGCACTGTCATAAATTTGTTTAATATAGATGCTGCCTCAGCAGCCATTTTCAGGCCTGACACTGAAAACCCTGTTGTCCCCTGTCATCTCGAGCCTAGTTAAAACCTCCCCTTCCTGTGTGCTTGTGATACAGCTGCTTGCTCCTCATCTCACTAACCCCAAACCCAACACATTCCACAGCTACTGACCACAAGGAAACCTAATGGCTAACACCAGAGTCACGTATTCCCCCCTTCACGTGTGTTTTCTTTAGCCTAGCCAGTCCACAACCCCTCATGAACTTAAATAAAGGTACAATCCCAGAGGTACTCTCTCTCTCATTCCCTACCCGCAGGTAAACCCCTGTTGTCTCCAAACTTCCCATCGGCCCTCGAGGGAACAGCTCTTCTCTCTTGGACCTGTGAGTAATAAAATGCTTCTGTTACTTCATGTTTTTTATCGTGCTGCCTCCCTTGTGTCTCACCTGACCAACACACTGGAACGTAACTTTCTTCCTGCTCAGGGCAGGGCTAGAACTTGTAACCACTCTCCCCAGAGACCTCAAGACCAAATCACAGGAACTTACAAAAAGCAGGCATGGGATGGACACCGTAAAAGGAAAGGAACTTCATATGCTGGCTACAACTATTGCATGGTGCTCAGCGGTTGGGTGTGAGGGCACTTGATGGTGCTCTGCCCATGCCATGTGCCCAGAACACACAGTCCCCAGGTGATCACCAAGCCCTGGCCCAGTCACCACCATCCCTTGACCCTCCTAAAAAAGACACCATGCACTCAAAGGATTCCCACTAGCAGAGTAGCAACATGCTTGATGGTTGTTTCTCTCCTGACACAGACACAGTGCATTCCAGAATGCATGCTACATATCAACCCAGCTCACTTTGTGCACCTACCTGTGTCCCAGAAGTTTGTTCCCCACAACCCTCCAGATGTAGACACTGTGGTCCCGGACCTCACAACTGAAGTGGCATCCAAACTGCCTCTGCATTACCTGCCCACCACCTGCCCTGAAGGTGTATTTGTGACAGCTTTCCCAACACAGATACCATGCATTCCAGGCTCATACTGACAGTGGTATCCCAACTCCCTCCACACATCGGCCCACCAACAGCTGCTAGCCTTGGCCATGGAGCATTGCTTCAATCTTGCCTAGTGATGATAGAACAACTGTGGCCCAGAATAATCCAGCAAGCTTCTCCACCATCCAGATGGCTACAACTACACTGTGGCCAAACATGCTGCCATGACCCCAAAAAATCTCCACCTGCTCCTGAATAATGACCTCCTATTGAGTGTATGCAAGACTTAAGTTTCTAGCCAACAGAACACAGCAAAAACAAAGGGATACTGGAGATGTAATTAAAGTCTCACATCAGTTGGTTCTAAGTTCAGTAAGGAATTCATCCAAGTAGGCCTTACTTAATTAGGTGGTATTCTTTTAAACAGGGTCTAGGCCTTTCCTGAGGTTCTGACACTCCTCTACCTGGCTTAATGAAGTGGCAATGTGGCAAGAGCTGCAGGTAGCCTCTAAGAGCTAAGGTCAGCCTCCAGCTGACAGCGAGCAACAAGTCCTGTCGCTGCAAGGAAATTTTGCCCATTATCTGAGTGAGTTTGGAATAGATTTTTCCCTATTTAAGCTTCTCTAGTTAAGTTACATGAGACTGCAAACCAACCAATGCCTTGACTGCAATCAGGTGAAATCCTGAGCGGAGGACCTACCTAAACCAGGCCAAACATACTTTAAGTACTCAAAGAAGCTGTGAGATAGCTCATGTGTTGTTTTAAACCACGAAATTTGTCTTAATCTGTTAGGCAGCAAGAGATAACAAATACATGTTATCTAATGAGGTCTAAATCCCTGCCTTGGGAAGGGGCAGACATTCTTTTGTTTCTTTCTGCTTTCACTCAAAATTATGTTTATGAAATTCGTCTGCATTTTTGCATCTACCTTTGATTTTTCCCTTCTATTTACTGTAGAGCCTTCAAATACTAAGTATACCACAATTTACCTATTCTTCTGTTGATCCACATATGGGATTTTTGCAATTTAGGGCTATTTCATATAATACTGGTATAAAAAATATTTACTTTTATCTTGATACTCATATTGCACGCATTACTGTTGTGTTATAGAGCCCACAAAGTACAAATTCAGTAGGTACTGCCAACAGTTTTTGAAATTGCTCTTCCAGTAAACTCCCCAAAGAGCAGTATATGCACATCCTCACCAACTTTATCTTCAAAACCCCCACCAATTGTTTCACTATGTCCAGCTAGCTCACTGGGACCTGTAAGTGGCAAAAACAGAACATGAATATTTCCAAGCCTTTGACCCCTTCACAGCTTTCTGGCAGTCTGCATTGGCAGGGGAGTTTTCTGGTCATTTACCTATAGTGAGTGACTCCAGCCTCCTAGATGTGTGAGTATCTATGAGGAGTAACACAAGACATTCCTTCAGGGAAAGGAAGGACCAGTTTGGGTAGGAGTAGAAACCCCGAGGTGGACTGAAAACAATCAGTGAAAAGGCTTTGACTCTCTAATTATGTACACAAATATTTCCTAAGATTAATAATTCACATAAGTGAATTTTCACGGAGAACTTATTTTTCAATGCCCAGCCACTGAGTCTCATGAAGTCCACAAACTTCCCATTCGTGAAATTAAAACTTTCATACTTCCTATTTTCCCTTGATTTACATCATTTGATCAGATGGCACTTATTTTTTCCTGTTAGTCATACACTGAAGATTAGATTATTCCATCACATTTCCTTCCCTCTGTCACTCTAGAAATGTAATCAGCCAATTCATAGAATGTTTTCCCAGACACTTCCTTCCCTTTCCTTTTTTTTTAAAGATGACCAGTAAGAGGATCTTAACCCTTGACTTGGTATTGTCAGTACCACGCTCTCCCAAGTGAGCTAACCAGCCATCCCTATATAGTGATCCGAACCCGTGGCCTAGATGTTATCAGCACCGCACTCTCCCAAGTAAGCCATAAGTTGGCCTTTCCTTCCCTTTCAACATGGTTAAAACATACAACTTATATTTCTGGACTCAGCTTAAATATCACTCTATTTTCTTAGCATCACCTACACCCATACGAAGACAGAAAAATAATACTGTCTTGTACTTTACTTCTAGATATTCATCAACTGTAAAATACATTTTTTGCTTGGTTAGATGTTAGCCTCCTCTGCTAGTTTACAAGCTCCCTAAGAACAGCCCTATATTGATTTTTTTCACTATGCCTTAATCAACCATTCAGGGACTCATCAGTTTACAGGAAATATAAGAAATGGAGGAAACATTTAAACACACCGGGAGAATACAATCAAATACATCAAAATGTGTGACTTTCTCCAAGAACAAATGACTTTTCAAGAAGACATTATAACTGAAAGACAATAGCAACTGCTTTAGGTTCAAAGAGACTAAAAGACATAAACAATTACAACATAAAAACTTGAGTGGATATTAGATCCAAAAGCAACCAAAAGGTTATTTGGGGACAATATGGAGACTTTTACTTTTTTACACAGGAAAGATATCAGTAACATTTTTAATTTTCTTGGTTCAAATAGTACTGTTGTCTTAACAGGGCAATGTCGTTATCTATAGGATATGCATTACCGAGCATTTAAATCTCAAGTGTCACGCTTGCCATTTTCAACTTACTTCCTCTCAAACAGTTCACCAAAAAATGTATTTTACTTTTCTGAGGAGAGAGCAGATGACAAATTCAAACATTACAGTAAAGGTGCAATAAAACCTCCATTCTTTCTTCCTAGAAGCCCTGTTTTGAAGCTCTGTGGGAAGGTACAGGTCTAGGAAGTTCAGATGAAAAGAACAGCTTAGTATTCCTGTTTTTTTCAGTAGAAAGACTTGCAGTCTAAAAACGTTTATATCCACATACAGTAACATGCACACCCCAGACACCTAAAAAAGTAGCTTTGTCTTTCCACCTGAAAATTTGTCAAAAACACAGAACAGCAAAGAGAAAGCCAAATTCTCATATGAAACGTTAGCAGAAGCAGAAGGAAGAGGCGCTCGTGAACCAACTTCCACCCAGTGCTCACCCGAAAGCGCCGCAATCGCCAGGTCCGTGAGGCGGGAGGACGCAGGGCTGGGGTCAACGCGCTTTGAAGTGGGGAAATTTTTTATTTCTGGGGGGGGAAAAAAACACAACGATTGCTTTGGAGGCTTTAGAAGAGGCAATTACCGGGTTTGAAAGAACTCTACGGAATCGCCCTTACGACATATCCCGACGCACTCCCGGCGGGGACGAGGGCCCGAGTGGCGTCTCGGCCCTGGCCGCCCCGGGAGGACCCGCGGCCCCGGCGGACGCGAGCGGAGTGGGCCAGCCCTCTCTACGAAGCCCCCTCGGCGGCCCGGACCAAACTCGTACTTTCACCACCGGCTGCTCCCCTCCACCTGGCCTCACCGAAGCCGTCTTAAGCCAGAAACCACCCAAGTGGAAAGAACCCCGGCCGCGCGGAGGCAGCGCCGGAAGAGACGACGGCGCGCTGCTGACGTCACTTCCGCTCCCAGCCGCGGGCCTGCGGGGCTGCCGGTTCTAATCTCAGGCACGTTGGACCTCGTTCGGACGCAGAAATTGTTTCCCTCCCGCCTGAGGCGGATGGCTCTCAGGGTCGACGCAGCGCGGGACTGGAGGCAGAAACAGACCCGAGGACAAGGCTGAGGTTAGAACCCGGCCTGTGGGCGGGGCCCGTGCTCGGGGCGGGGATGGAGGCGGGACCCGGCCCAGCGCGCGGTTTGGACGGAAGAACAGACGAGAAACGAGGCTGCGGGGCGTCTCACCAAGTGCTTTTTACCTGCCTCTGCCCGTGTACCCGGAGCCCTTACAATGATTTTCCCAAACTGATAAACCTGCCAGTCCGAGAAATGGACTACTCCTCCGTTCAACCAATCCAGTCTTTAGGCCTTTATTTCCCTTTTTTGTTATTTTTTTAAATCTGAAGAACCTGCTAAACTCTGAGTTGATTTCTTTGTTTTCAATGTACTGACACTTTTTGTAAATCTTGTATATTTTTTCTTCAAATATGTGTTTTTGTTTTTCGGGTCTTACCGTAGGTTCCAGGGTCTCCCGTACTGTGTTGTAAAGGAACGTTGATACCAGGCATTCTTCACCTACGCAGGATTGGTTCTACAGTTGCTCCGGTAATCATTTTGCTGTGGTTTTCAGTGGACGGCCTTTGTGGAGTTAATAAAGTGATTTTGAACATTGACTAACATTTTATCAGGAATTGTTTAGGTATACCATCAAATATTTTGTGAATAGTGAGTTAGCTATTTTGCTGTTAATTTTTCATCTTTTACCGTGCAAAATATTTAATTTATGTAGCCAAAGGCGTTGTTTTTTAATATAATTTCTGGGTTTCCTGCCATACATTCAAAAGTCTCCATAAACTCTAGATTACATACAGATTTTCCTAATTTTCTTCTGAAATGTATTACTTTTTAAAAATTTTTTTGGCGGCTGGCCGGTACAAAATGTATTACCTTTAAAAACATTTAAATCTTTCATCCTCATGGAATGTATTTTCGCATGTGGTGTGGGGTAGTGACTCTAGTTTTTTTTTTCCCCAGAAAGATGGCCAATTATTGTACTACCATCCTTATCTTACTGACTTGAAATTCCATGTTTATTAAACAATAAGTTCAAATATATACCTGTATCTTCTTCTAGACTCTCTGTGCCAGTAATATGTTTGCTTATGCCAATACCAATATCATAATCTTTTCATCCCAAGGCTTTATATCAACTTTTAATATTTCATCGTAAAAATATAATAGTGGCTGTTTGTTGTATCTTACTATTCTAGGTGCTTCATAGACCTTAAGTTTTTATGCTACCAATGATGTAGCTACTATCATGATTTTCATTTTCGTTTTTTGGACCAGCTTTACTGAGATATAAATTCACATATGACACAATTCATCCATTTAAAACTATACAATTCAGTGTTTCCAGTACATTTAACAGTGCTGTGCAACCATCATAACTTTTGAACCTTTCATTGCCCTAAAAGAACCCTCTGGATGTCAAAAACCCACATTTATTTCCTTTCTTAATCTCTAGGCAACTGCAAATCTACTTTTCTGTCTCTACAGATTTATCTTTTGTGGACATTTCATATGAATAAAATCACACAATCTTTTGTGAAGCTTTTTTCACTTAGCATGGTTTTCAAGGTTCGTCTGTGTTGTCGCATATATCATTCCTTTTTATGGCTGACTGATATTCCATTTTATAGATTTACTATATTATTATTTATTCATCTGTTGATGGACATTTGGGTTGTTTCCACTTTGGGAATATTTATGAGCAATGAGGCTAGGAAGATTCACGTATATCTTCTCGTGCATACAGGTTTTATTTCTCTTGGGTATACACCTAGGAGTGAAATTGCTGGGCCGTACAGTAACTATCTGTTTATGAATTTGAAGAACTGCCAGATTGTTTTCTAAAGCGTCTGCACCATTTTACATTCCCACAAGAGATGTATGAGGATTCCAATTTCTCCAAATCTTTGCTAACTCTTGTTATAGTTTGCCTTTTTCATGTTAGCCATCCTAGTGGTGTGAAGTGATACCTCATTATTATTTTGATTTGTATTACTAAGACTACTGCTGCTGAACATCTTTTCATGTGCTTGTTAGCCATTTCTCTGTCTTCTTTGGAGAAATTTTTGTTCAAATCCTTTGTCCCTTTAAAAATTTGATTGTCTTTACCTTATTGCGTTGTAAGAGTTCTTTATATATTTTGTACTCAAGTCCCTTACTATTTATGTGATTTGCAAATATTTTCTCCCATTCAGTGCGTTGTCTTTCACTTTCTTCATGGTATACTTTAGAATATAAAAGTATATGTCCTGGGCCTTTGAAGTGCAAAAGTTTTGGGTTTTTGTTTGTTTTTTTAAA